CTTCTAAACGTCTAATACTTTGATTCGACTGTTTCGTTTGCATAGTCACTGGAGCCCATTAGCGATACATTGTGTGGAAATGTATTAAGGTTCTCAGTTCCTCTCTTGGCTTCAATGTATCATCACCCCGCATTTAAATTCTATAGGTCTACAAGGATATATGCGAATGGTAAGAATTATCACCCCGCCCCCAATCCAACAGCCAGGTCCAATTACCACTCTTTGTCTTTAGAGCTTTTTGACCTATGTCTCTAACTCCTACCCCCCCGGCCCTCTGGGCCAGCCTGCTCTGGAATGTGTACAGAATCACACACATGTCTACATGGAGCCCTGCCATCTCACTGCAGAACTCCAGTAAGGATTTAAAAAAAAAAAACATGGGTAAAAGGTTTTGTGTGAACTTCGATAACCCCCCCTCCCCCCACCATCTCAGAGGGCAGAGAATTAAACCTCCCCCATCATGACTGGGACAGTGATGGATTTTCCCCCTGGACTCCACAGGAAATGCAGCTGGGATTGCTCCGCCTACTCGCACTGTGCTGGACTGACTCTGTCTACAGGCTAATGCAGAGCACTGGAACGGTTCAGTCTACCTTGGGAATAAAACAATAACATTGTAATACTTTTGATTTACTAAGAATGCCTAACTATTGGTGGAGTGTAAACGTACTGCAAGTACAAAACAGCTTAAAATGAGAAAAACCAGGACAGTGATTTTCAGTCCCCGCATGACTGTTCCCCTTTGTCTGTATTAGAAATAAATCGAGCAATCGAAAGCATCCCAGACAGTAACTTTATAAGGTATAAATGATGAATAACAATTTAGCTAAAGGCAAGATATGCAAAGAAGGTCAAAACTATCAGAATGACCTTCTTTATAAGGTTCTCTATTCTTTAAACGTACTGAATTCTCCGGACTCTTTCTGTCAGCTCTCACACTTTGCCTGACGTCTGTCTTCTTCTGTCCAGGATCCGGAAGACAATAGGTTGAACTACATTCAAAATTTCAGCCTTGGAACAGAGGCCCGATTCTTCGGTGCTGACCCTACCATGCCAGTGCGGCATATGGAATGCCATTAGCGTCCCAACAAGCCTCTGACAGTGCAGAACTGGCAGACACAGTGCGAAATTACTGAGTGCCGTCTCTGAGCGTGGGTCTCAAGTGCAGCAGTGTGTCTCTCAGAAAGCACAAAAGGGGGTCTAATATACCCCTCCCGGGGTATATGGATGTAGCTGGTCGAGAAAAGGCTCATAACCAAGCATTGATAACATTCAGGCAGCACATACAAACAGACAACAGGAAAAAAGAAACGTTTTTCTCACAAAGAGCTTAGAAAAAGGCCACTTTCAAACTTTCTGTCGAACCAATGAGAACAACATATGAATTCATTCCTGAATCACTGACAATAATTATTTATTTCTCCCCACTCCAAAGCAGGAAAACAGGGCTTACATCACTCACACCGATTGTAGGGGGGTTTTCTCCCTTGTTAGCCAACAGGATGGGTTGTACCACCAGAAAACAACATAGGTCTTATCAGATGTTGGCCAGTCGGAGTGTAAGGACCAGCAGGTCGATATCGCTGAACCGGTATATACAGAAAATCATTCCGGTTCTGCTTGGTGATGAAAGGTCATATTCTCTCCAGGCTTCAGCTCAGCATGATTCTTCATAAGGATACTATTTTCTTATGTCCATTCTTGTGTTATGTAATTGACATATACACGATACACACAGACACACACAACCAGCTAACTGGATGTCTATTGACCATGATAACAATATGCAAGATCCACCCACACAAAACGTGTGAGGCGACAGTAGAACCCACTGGGTCACTATGCCCCCCGCATACCGACCATAGTGACAGCAATACAACACAGGCAGCCCCCAGGGTACGAACAAGATCCGGTAACTAAATCTGTCTTAAAGCCTAATTCGTGGGTTAGCCAGAACAATAATAATACGTTGCATAATAATAATTATTATTATACAGTAATAATTAATGTAGCTACACACTGTACTTCACTGTACCTCGAGCCGATGGACCACTGAACCCACACGGTGTTTTAATGAGCGTCACAAAGTAGTGTGTGCGTCTGTAATCACGAACCATGGCGTTTAACTGAAATTATAAATATGATTTAAATATGATGGCTTTACGGTAGGCATTGTATATCAACATAATTACAAAATCGAGTTTCACTCTGTAGACGACATAGTCCTGTAACAGCAGAGCACCATGAGTTTGAGGTGACTTTTCATGGGGGGTGCAGTGTTCTCCATAAGGATGAGACGACCAGTAGAGCAGCAGATGAACGATGGGTGTATCGGGCAATACTGGCCTCACCTCCTCCTGCGACGCATGGTCAGGGCCTTCAGGGTCCACAGACCAGTAGCAGTAGTCAAACCCAAACTCCATCACTTTCTCTCTGGAGTCCCCGTGTGCATCAGGACGACCATCAAGCTGCAGAAACACAAGCTTCCATGTCAATTAATGCTTATAGAATAAACGGTTAATTTGTGCTTTTGCAGGTCTTCTACACTATGAAAGTGTCATTGATAGTATCGGTGCTCAATGTTTCACATGAATGGTGTCAGCATGGCAGGTGTGATCCAGCCTTATGCACAGAGAACACTGGGATTGGCTCCAAGCCCACCTGAAACCACGTAGACGATAAACCGTTGAAAGATGAATGGATGATGTCAGTTTGGCGGTCTGTAAATCTGACTCACTGTACAACATAGCATCAAGTAACACTACCGCTAAAGATCTGAATTTGCTGAATGGCATCTAAATACTTTTAGCAAGGCAGAAGTGCTGAATCCACAGATTTGAATCACTGAATTCACCTCTTACTACCATAACTGGAAAGGTGTGGTGACTGGGGTTATTCAAATTAATTACTTACACCTGTCTGTCGTGTGTGTGTGTGTATGTATATTCTTTTTTGTGTTGCCCCGTAACCAGGATACTGGTTTTATGTCAGTCCCCAGACCTGTCAATTTTCCATGCAATTATATCCCTATTCAGCCTTGAGTAGTTTTTCCTTAGCTTGTAAACACAGCACTTTGCTCTAGTATTCCTCTGCCACATCATTAATCACTAACACCACCTAAACTGCACATGAAGAGTCATAACAAAAAAATTGTTCTTCACAATAGTATACAAGCAGTTTTTACATAGCAAAGCAAACGGACATTTTGCTATGTGGTTGCAAACAATACAAAAGTAACAGTCATATTCATCAAGATACAGGCCACATTTGCTGTAAGGATACCGAAATTATTACTTACTAAATGGTTCTTTTAATGAGTAAAAATTACATTTGTGATTGATTATGCTGATTTTAAATAATGCCCTAGGCACAAAACCAAATGACTAAATTTCACCTTATTTATTTATTTAGAATACAACTACATTTAATTTCGCAACAACGCTAATTGACAAGGGTCAGGCAAGTACCAGCATGTCTGAACGTCCTGACTTTACCAGCGGTGACACTGTTTGTAGACACCACAGAAATACATAAAACACACGCTATTGTCAAAATCCCTGCAGTGGAGATTGCATCAAAGAAAATTACAATAGAGCCTGGGATACCCATTAGTCACACGGTTATAAAGAAGCTAAAACCATTATGAAACAGAAACACATTTGACTGACCCCTGTTCAATACATGCCTGCCAAAATAAACCCTCCTTTTATACAGCAAGGTACTGCAGCCAACCTGAAAAGCTCATTTTGTAAAAGCCGCCGGCTGGATACAAAGCCCACAAGTCCTGTTGTTATAAAAACCCAGAGCTGGAATTAATGGCTCAGAAATGGATCTGTGGTGTTTGTGTGGAGCTCTGCTTACTTAAACCACAAGGTTGATCTCTGCATTACCTCTCACCGCATCTTTCCCTGAATACTGTGTCTTACTAAGTGCTCTTAAACCATCTACACAGTGTACATTAAAACCAAACAAATTTCTACTCAACAGAAAAAAAATATACTGTAACATAATAACAACCAATGAAGAATTAGACCTGAAAATCTAACCAAACAGAAAAGCCAAGCAATTTATCCTCCTGAGACCCAAGGAAAAAAGTGTCCTTTAATTTTAGGTTATTTGTCTTTAGAGTAAATAAGACGTCTTTTTTCAAATTTCTTGCTATTTTTAATTTCACAGCATGTCTCTTTAGTGTACAACGGGAATAAATACGTTTCCTTACATCAGTGAAAAGATAGATGCAAAAATAAAAATGTCCACTACAATGGACATAAATTAATGGGTGGGGTCTCAGGAGGATATAGTTCAACAAGAAATAAAATTTACGGTCTCTCTCTTACCTCTATTAGCCTTAAGCCTCCTTTTACATTATCCAAGACCCTCCCACAATAATATTTCCCAATGTATACTAACCAAATCTAATCTAACCTCAGTTAACCACTTTGAAACATCATGGGAAATGTCTAAACTACAAAATATTAATCCAAACTCCTTCAGCAACAGGACACTCCACGTGGTTCAGCATCAGACAATTGATAATACTTCTTTTAATTTCCTGCCCCTTATGAGTCTTAAGACACCGGCAAAGTGTGAAGTACAACAGGATATAAATCCTTCTCAGATCATAAAGAACTTGAAAGTTATACAGTGTATGTATTAATGGTAATGACGTAGTTTATTTGAGTTTCTGAAGCAGTGTGACTGCGCCTCTTTTCAAAAGCATTACAGGTCAGTGTCCCCCTGAAGGATTATGAAGTGAAGTATATCAACAAGAGACTTTGTAAAGCCTTAAATAAACCCCACAGGATTGTTTTCCTAACAAAAAGCTAACACTATTAATTTTAATGACGTAAAACATGCTAACTTTTGCTGACTTTTTAAGCTGCGTTAGCGTGGTGCCTGTATTGTCTGCCCCTGAGACAAACTAACTAGGTAATACCCAGAGACCCCTGCATCTGTGTGTGTTTCCATGTGTGTATGCAAGGGATCTGAGTGCTTACAGTAAACAATGTGGCACTGAAGCAAGAACTGAACATCCCTTACTGTAAACATCCCATTCGGTTAACCACCCCCATACCCAGAACGCGCACCGGCCATCGACTGTAACCAAATAACTAATGCTTTCTATACAATCATGCTGTTTTATTAGCTAATCTAGATATTTGACAATCAAATATTTAAAGTTACTGAGAATATATAAAGGATACATAGTCCTTTCCAATTTTGAAGACCTAGTCATTTAAAATGTTTAAAGTATGCAAAGTACTTACCTTCATGTTCTTTATCCTAACTATCTTGTCCTCCACTTGCAGCGCTATCCGTGCCCCATCCGCCGTCTCCCTAAAGCAACGACATCAGCGTATATTAAATAAAAGGCTTAAACACATCAACATGCATTCATCCTGAGAAGATGCATATTGCCCCAGTATTAAAAAGGCCAAATTAGACGGTACAACTCTTGTACATAGAGGAATCAGCAATATGAATTTGCTCATGAGAAATGAGCCAGTCCTTATGGGACTCCTGATGCAGGCATTAGACATGCATCTTGAACACAAGTAAAGATGTTAATTCTGTTTTGGGTCATGAGCTACTAAAGTCCAATGAGGGCAGCAGGAAGCTTTGAATCCTTCACAACTAGAAACATCCTAACTTTCTTTGAGAATTAGGTCAAGACGGTATTTCCCAAATACCACAGAATGAAACACAGACCAAAACAACAAAATAATTTCATTAGATGTAACAATATAAAAAGAAAGATATACGAATACGGATCGCTATTGCATATTTTATCGGACACACAGTATTTCAAAGAACAATCAACTATTCTATTGAACTAGTCTAGTTGAGTAAATATGCAAGAGTACCATGAGACTCTATGTGTTGAAGGTCAAGAAACAAGAAGCATGATGGATACATAACGTCTGTGATCATGAGACAAAGTCATTGCATGAACAAATGACTGCATTGAGAAACCTACAAATTCATCTAAATATCAAACAGAACCAAGATAGCAGAATACTGGCATCCCGATCCAGATTTTTTACTCCCTAATATTTCTGTAAAACTTCCTAGAGACTTCAAATAGGTTTACACTAAAATTAGTAAAACTTACATGAATCTGTTGCTTAACATCTTCTTGATAGCCTGTGTTACTTGACTCTATGAGACCCACAGAACTTACTAGAATGCAATAATGCACGTTTTTAATTAAACCTGAGGCAATTCAGCGTGCATCAAGGCTAAGCAACATCGGGCAAACATATGAATTCCAAATATAGTCATAAAACTGATGGCAGTCACACCCGCACGGCAATTTGATACGTGGTTACAAACCTTGTAAAGCTCCACTATGGTAATGCCTGTAAAGCAATGATGAGAGGGAAGGATGAAGCTGGGCTACATAAGTTCTGTAAGTGAGTAGAAGCCTACATTCTGTAGCACTGACCTGGGCCATTCATCTAAGGCAGTGTTTTCCCAATCCGGTCCCCAAGCACCCTGCTGGGAGCTGGGAGGGAGCAAAAATGTGGACTGTCTGGCAGGGAGCAAAAACATGGACCAGCTCTTGGCCCCCTGAAGGCCAGACTGGGAGACATGGATCTAAGGCAAGAAGTTCAAGTATGCTCCCTGCAAGTTTTTTTTGCCATGTCTCTGTCACAACATAATTTTATTCTTCTTTTGAAAATGCTGTATGTTTCCTGTTTAAACGTCTGTCTGACTGATCACTGTGCGACCATGCTGTATTCCAAAAAATCTTGAAAACTGGGTAACACTGTACTTCGGGCAGAAATAAGGAGTAGTACACTCTTATTTAATGTATTAATTAACCAGAAATTAAGTGTTACTTACATACTGACCCCGTGTTCATTCATAATTAATCAATCATAACAGTTAATGTATTTCATGTAGTTACCTTACTGTATTTGTTCATGATTTGTACTTGAGTAGTAACTGAGTTACTAAGTTACTTGTGCCTCCTTAGGTAAAGTGTTAGATGTCCATTTACATAACATCTAGGTGACAGCATAAACAAAGAAAACTAATTTACCTAAAACAAATTAAAATACATCATAATTTGATCAGATTTAATTTGATATCAGTTTATCAAAGTATGCTTTAATCGGCTCTGTAAGACTGGATCGGGAAATCCCCAATTATATTTTCCTGGCTTATTTTGATAATTCTCACGTATAATCAAAAAAGAAAATTGGCAAAGCCTGAATGATACCACACCCAAAGTTTATGGTAAATCAAAGTCGTATTATTAGAGCCTATATCCTTTCAACTATTGTGTATGGTGGTTTTTTAAATGGTTCAACAGATTTCAAGACTGCAATACATCACTCCTTACCCTGACTACAAAAATAAATCATACTACATGGCACTGCCAAATTAAGTTTCTCACACAAATCTTTCCCACATAACTCTATGTCTTTGACAGTGTCAGACTTCCCGGCATTATTATATGTAGGTCTGTGGAGCAAAGGTTTGTGTGAAAGTGGGACAATCTATGTATTCCAGCTGCGGATTCCAGGCCCTTCTGACGCAATGTAGTGAAATCCAAGCTTGGACAGCAGAACTCTGGGAAACAAACTCTAAAGCAGCCACTTTAACTTGGAAGTGCTGCAGCAGTGCTTGACTATGGTCGGGGAGGGTTAGTTTTCCAGCCGTTTGGTGGAAGCGGGCCAGATTACGTATACAGTCAGTAAATTCTGACTAAAACCCTGAAGTATATCCTGATATAGAGCAAGGTCTGCATATGTATGCTGAGTGCTGGATCTCTCTCTCTCTCTCTCTCTCTCTCTCTACATTAACAGCCCAGCAGCAGCAAGAGCTGCAAACCCCATTTTGCCGTGGCAAACAAACCAAATTCTGGTGATATCACAACTTGACATAATGCCCCTCCTTACCTTCCAGCTTCCCCCACAGACCCCCAGAGAGTTTCAACATGCTGTTGTAATTTTGGTTAATCGTAGTGGGTGGAGTATGCGTCTTAGGGGGGCACTTCAGGCACATGCTATCGACCACAACACTGCCTTAGAAGTTCCAAGAACTATTTATATGATACTACAATAAACAGTGCTAGACTGTCAGCTAACTAGTCAACAAATGGTTTAGAAAGCACAGCATACAATGGACACCAAAACTAACAGCAAAAATATGTCTTTCTGTTTAACTGCAAGCCATCATAAATTTATAAAAGAAACTAATGTAAACCTGAACAGGCCGCTAAAATATTAATATCAGCAGTTTACACTTTATTGCTAAAATTCAGCTATATATACTATTGCAAGTCATGTGCGATGCAATAGGATACAGCCATAGGAGAGCTTTGCATAAATGGACGTTATTGTCCAAATCGAGGTACAAGACGATCAGAGAGCAGGGACACAGTCAACATCACTGAAGCAAATGGGGTTAAAAGTATTATTCAAGGGACCAATGGTGATATGATTACTCTGCCGGCCTTGGGACTTGAACCCACCACCTTCCGGACAATAGGCAGAGATCCATAAACCACAAGCTACACACAGCTCCCAATAACACTCGAACAAGTAATGACTATCGTAGATTTAATTTAAAATTATAATTCTAGTCCTTGCTGTGATATGAGGTCATTCATGAATTAATGAATGCGCATATAAAGCCAAGAATCTGATCAAGTTAATTTCTTACTGGTACTTTTAACGGTCGCACTGGGTTTCTGTGAGAACTGCGCATTCTCTGTGCCCCAGAAGAAAACTCGTCCACTTCTGCTTTCATAAAACTAAGATACATTAGCTTTGCTTAAATTCGCTTTCATTTTTATAAATCGAGCAAGGATAATACTGCCCAACATGATCGTCCTTTAAGCGGCACAAACACTAAACACGCCTCCCTCCGGCACACGAACTTTGCTAACAGAATATCCTGCAAAACTCCACTCTGCACAATTAATAAGTAATTATAGCAATAACCACATGCACACGTAATATCAAATTCACAAAATATCAAACCAAAATGACCCTTACCTTGCGTTAAGTGGGCGAACCCGAATCGCTACTTGAACGTTTGACATTTTTCTTTATTGGGTATAAGCAACTGCGTTTCGATGCACCGAAAGAAAACGACAAAATTATGATATTCAGATATAAAAACCTACAAACAACGTCACGCAGGCTAATCAAACGGGGACAAAAGTAAACTTCTGTCCCCATCAGTCAGGTCCGCCGCCTTCTCCATGCGCCTGCGGAAAAACTTGCTGCCGGGGCAGCGGCGAGGGGACGGGAGGAGACCGAGGCGGGGCCACGGAAACGCGGCCTCGCTGCCAGCTTCGCTTCCCTGGCGTTGTTTACGGGTCCATGTGGACGTTCATATGTCAAGGGTGTAGCGCGTATTTTTTTTCGAACGTATATTCTATCCATAAAATTGCCAGTTGGGAAAACATCAGTCGTTGGGCAAAGCACTGATTGAACAAAGCTCCTCGGAGGGGTGATAATTATTTTCATTTTTTACATATGGCAAATGATTTTGATGATGACCAATGATGATGTGTCACAGCACACTACATTAGCCCTGTTGCATATGGGGCTGTGTAGCCGCAGGCCAGAGTGCTGATGCTGACCTCTGTCCATAGCTGACAGTGCCTACAGTGGGTGCATGAGCGTCAGAACTGGACCTTGGAGCGGCCTTGTCTGGTTAGTCCCGTTTCATCATGTGGACGGGAAGGTATGTGTTGGACATCTGTGGGATATGCTGGACCAAGAAGTCCGATCCACAGCTACGTAGCTTCACACACCACAGGGCTCAATGTACAGTGTCTTGACACAGTAAAGTCACTCAGATCTTTACCCCTACCCAATTCTTCTTTATTAAACAAGTACCAAATATTAGCTTATTGTGTAATATATCCCAGACCTTGGTACACACTGTTTTTACAGGCCAGCATTAAATGCTTCTCATGGGGTGGTCATAATATTTCCATTCATTAGTGTGTAAGATTTCTATATGTTGACATTCTCTTGTCATTCATATGCTTCCCCAATTGACTCATTAGATAAGGTTGAATAAAACCAGCTATTTGTCAGTGGGTCTCAGTATATTGTTCTATTGACAAGCCACAACACTGTGTTTAGGTTACGCGTGTTCCCACATTATCTATAAATCCCTCCTAGTCTAAAAACGTGATCTAAGTGGATTGGTATCTTTGAGTACCAGTGTGTGTGCTGTTACAAACTGGTACCCAGTGGATGCGTGAAGACTTGCCTGTTTGGCTTTTCATGGCTAAAACTTTTATAAAATTCACATTGCATGCCTCTAGATTCACTGATCTTTTATACCTCTTGTCCTATACAGTAGTGGGCTCTATATTCAGAAAAAATATTAAAAATGAGTCGAAGTGGCATTCAGAATTCTAAAATGTCTTTATTATATTTATTGTACATAATCAACATTTAACAGTTTAAAATCGGTACAATTTACAAAGTCCAATATGAACTATAAAAGCCCATCACAAATGCATTCAAATTGCATTCATGAAAAACAGACAAACAGAAAAACACAGGCAGCAGAAAGATCAGCAGGTCGATGCAAAGGTAAAGGTCATTATTTTTCAACAGCGTTGTATTATGATTCGGGGAGGGTATTTGTTACAAGGCACACTCCATCAGGAATCCAAAAGCTAAACGTTGTGTATATATCATAATAAAACCAGTGCGATCATTCAGTCTCCTGGAAAATAAGTTTCATCTGGATAAAGCTTCCACACAAAGATCCTCAACCTAATCTCAAGTAAATGAGGAAAAGGATATAGGATTGAAAATGCCTGTGATATTTACCTGCAACATAGTATTTATGGATGATATGTGAAAGGTGCTCTCAGTGGAAAATGCGTGGACGGACAATAGCGCTATGCATCGACTAATAAAGGAACTGCAGCATCCCTTGAACTCTGGTAGGTAGCGCCATCTGCTGGCTACTCAGGGCAGTGCATTGTGTCTTGGCGGCTCTGCAGTGACAGGACAGAAAGAACTGAGGCCAATTCTTCAATCTTCTTCATAGAGTCCTAAAATATAATGAAATTAAACGTAAGCAAAACAGGAAGCGCAGACGTGTAAAGCTTCTCTGTTAAAATCTTGACGTGTGCGTGTGTGACTGGACTCTCACAGATGGCCATGGTAGTTTTGACAGCTTCTCCCAACGGGACAGTGTTTCTTCACTCAACAACCGGCTCTCCAGCAACCGCCTAGCAAGGAACTTGAAGGCATGCCACTGTAAGGATATAGTAAAGAATAAGAACAAAACATTATTTGTGCAGATTATAACACACATTCTAATAGTTCTCTAATCCCCAATATTATAATTCCAATAGCATGCAACGTGCACACTTCCTCGACCAATTTAACCATATCGATTTACACTCTTCAAGTGTAAGAGACACAGCAGGGGTCTATACAGGGGCGGGGCCACAGAGACACTGGTCCTAGCTGAAAGCTGATTGGCTCCTGAAGCGCTCCCTCCATTGTCATCTACCAATTCAACACATATCATTGGCTAATCAGCTTGGTTCCCTCTGTATAAATCATGGCCCTTCTTATGCCTCCCCTCTACCTGAAAAGTCAGAGAATTTATTTTAACGTTAATCTTAGCAGTGTTAAACATGACTTACGTTTGTTTCTCCGGCACTCAAGACTTTGGTAATTACGGTCTCTGTGAACAGAGTGTGACAGGGGGTCGGGGGACATGGATCTCGTCTCCACAGGTCAACTAACTGCTGCAGCAAGGCACAGACAGGACTGAGACTCTGCTCACTGGTCTCATCAGGCTCAGGTACTGTCAGCCGGGCGCTTAAGGGCAACTCGCCAGACACTGCGAAAAACAGAAGGAGACTAAATATCTGTCCACAAAATATGGGACAAGACACCATAAAAAAACATTTCCTAATTTCATTCTTTTTCTAATTTTGAGTATCACAAAGGGACGCCTCTGGATGTCTGCAAAGCTACAATTCACTATAGTAAATAATTTCTTATTTACTGTTGTGATAGAGTCAGAACCAAATCAGAATTGTTTCCAGCAGCTTGAGTGTTCAGTTTAAAGATAAACCTATTTAAATATACCTATATACTCTAGTATTTGAGCTATTGAAACCTGTATCGCTATCCAAGTATATATTCTCAATACCAAATCATTACTGTAACATCCAATTGCAGTAGATCCAAAAACAATATAAAGAATAAAATATATTTTTTTCTTTCTTTTTAAATGAAGGTGTTTTAAACTCCTGTCGCTGTTACTGTGAAACATATCCTGTGGTACGGGAATAGAAGACTGCATACAAACCACAGATATCCATGCTCATTACCTTATAAGATGTTCATTTGTTAACTGGTGTACAAAGTGTTCTTTATCATGCTGAAATAGGCATTTTTGATTCATGGGGATATTTTGGGGAGATTAATTGGGGTACTTGGATGGACCTAGAACTAATTATTATATCCTCCATAAGAAATAATGGAAATTGAGTTAATATTTGTGCCATTTGAGCAGATAACAGTACATGTGTATCGGAAAACCACCTAGAAACCAGTGGCACCATTGGACTTGGATCCTGATGCTTTTATCCATCAAATTGAGGGGTATGTATGTCCCACTATGCACAATTAATGTTTATTCTCTAAGATTTCACAGATATGACCCTGTAAGAAATACCCCTACATCATCTCATTATTTCCCCAAGGTAACGGCCACTTCTTACCCAGCTTGCAGGCCAGCAGGACGCTACAGTGCAGAATCATTTGTTCGGACACTGGGGTCAGGAACTGCGTGAGACGGAAATAAGCCGATTTCATCTTTCTGTTGAGGCCGGTTTTTACTTTTAAGCACTGGAGCCCACGCTGAGCACCATGAAGGCTTGCAGTTAGCTTATAGCAATGTCGCCCTCCATACCTCCCTGCAGCTCAGGGTCTTGCCGACCCTCTGCAGCAGGTCCTGGAGCGCTTGGTGGCTCAGATGCTCTCCCTCGTACCTAGGGCCCACAGCGATGCTCAGGGCTTCCTGCGAAGGATGCGGCTGTTAGCAGATAGCAGGAGCCTGAAGGCTCCCCATTACTGCCTGATAGGCAGAGAGCGTAGCGAGACTGAACTGTGCTAATGCCTCGCAAGCCTGCTCATGCTGAGAAAGATGAACATGGGATAGTATCAGAAGAATTTGGAGTGATACTGTCGAAGAAAAATATATAGAGTAACAACTAATACATTTGCCATCAAAGCATCTGTCAGATGGTACCTTCATCTCAATGATAATATCTGATGGAAGAGAGGCTTTGTGAGTACAGCCGACAGGGCAGTGAGAAGCCATGTGCTTTTTGGTATCTGCTCCATGAAAAGGTGGCTGTTCCCAGACCACAGCTGCTTCACCCTGTGCTGTAGGCGAAGACGGCTGGGCCTTCATGATCCGCTGGAACGCGCTCTTCCACTCTCGCTTGATTAAGGCTGCATTGGGGGTCGAAGACGCACACAGCCAAGAAAGTCACCATTTCTACTAACACATAAGCGCACAGTGCCAAAGGCTATTTGATACTACGCTATAGGGCTAAAAGCGTGTGGACGCCCCTATTAATTAGAGGAACTGTCTAATTAAGCCACAGCCAATGCTGACACAGATATCCAGTAAAGCACACGGCCACGGCATCTCTAGCAATGAACACCAGCAGCAGAATGGATGACTGCACAGGTTAGTGACTTTCCACTAAGCATCATCACAGGATGCTACCTTTCCCACAAGTCAGTTCACTGCATTTCTGCCCTGCGCAACCGCAAATGAAACTGATTGTGATGTGGGAACATTTGGGAACAATTCAGCTGCGAGGCAAAATTTCAACACCTTCCCAGAAGAGGAGCGGCAAAGGTTAGACCAACTATATATAAATTCCCTTGGTTTTGGAACGAGATTTTGGACAAGCTGGTCTCCACAGTTTTGCCCATATAGTGTATGACAAGTGGAAGCTCCAACTATACAATTTCACACATTTCAGACACAGGCCTAATTTGAGAGCTCCCGCAGTTGAACAGTAGCCTTAGTGACTCATCCCCATTCATGAGTATAAATGTGTATCCAAAATATACCCATGCATCTTCCAGTAGTGCTACCCATGAAGTGAACCCTACCTGCTATGTTGCTGGACAGCCAGCTGCAGGCCTTCTCAGTGGCCAGGCGTACTGTGACGTGCTCCGACGTGGCGAGAACCTAAGCAGACGCAGGCCTCATCAGAGAGTGCGGAACATTCCCTGAAGAGTACCTTACACGCAATTGCAGAAATCTCTCAACCAAGTTGCTCAGCAAAGGGGAAGAAAACCACACTCACTGCAGGGGAGGTGTCTTCGGGCAGAAGGATCCGGATCGCTTCCGGACCTTTGTCACTGCAAAACCTGAACAACCCACAAGAAGCACTAAAGTAACACGTATGCAAGAGTCTAAAGCTGTGTGGTAACAAGACTGAACCGAGCTATAGTTACATCGTCTGCTGTATTTCCTATAAAATGTTTCTAATTTGCTACTCATGCATTATGAATTTCCATTAAAAGCAGACCATGCCAGATATTGATTCTGATTTTGACTGGCAGCTCAGAGGCACCCAGTTCCAGGTTCACGCTGCTGCATCTGTCCTTCAGGACACATTTCCATGGAAAAAAAGACTTAAGACTCAAAATCGTGCCTGGCCTTGCAAAAGGGCTTCCTGGTACCTGGTGGCACGTTCTAGCGCCTGCATCCCCGCGTCGCACAGCTGCGCACACACAGCGTCGCTCAGCTTCAGTGCAGCCGCCGCAGCGGCGTCACCGGCCCCCAGCTTCTCCCTCAGCATCTTCTCCCCGCTTTGGACCAGCTCCAGAACCAGTGTGGCTCTGCACGGCAACGGTAAGTACAGGAAGGAGCCTCAGCAGAGCGTGAGTGAGCACGCGGGTAAACACAGGCCACACAGACAAACAGAGAACAGTTGGACTGACTTGATGTGCTTGACACAGTTGGATCCCACTCTCTCGGCTACGAACTGCACAGTCCGGCGGAGAGACGGGGGCTGGTTGTGGAAGAAGGCCTGCTCGAGCTCTGCCTGGACGGGAAGACGAACACGCGAAAGATACACCAGACGCCCGCTTCACTCTCATCCTGAGAGACGCATTCCCCAGCTCTTGAGGTTACCTGTAGCTTCTGCTGCGAACGCACGGCTGGGGGCCCCCGAGGCTCTGCAGAGGTGGGGGTGATTTTTCGGATCAGGCCCCCGCTCTTGGCCATGCTTCCGGCCACAAAAGCAGCCAGAAGTTTGCGAAACTCGCCTAACAGAAGCATAGGGGGGAGACGTCGAACAAGGCGGTCATATCATGGCACTAGAGCGAAATATACCTAAAATCCAGACTTGTGAGGATTAGTACTTACTAAGATAGGGGCAGCAGGTGTAGAGGATCTGCTGGTCCACTAAAGGAAGACCATCCTGTAGGACAAAATACATAAACACTCAGCATTTCAAGTGAACTACAGCAGTACAGGCCAAATGCCCAAGACTGCATAAGGTAGCGTCCCAGTACCCCAGACGCGGAAGCTCCGAGCACCTACTCACCAGTCCCTGAGCAGTGGCGCCATCCTCCATCACCACCTCAAAGTCACTGCGGAAAAACAGGTCCTCTGGGAACACTGGAATCTTACATCGGACAGGGGAAGAGCCAGTCAGAGTTGCCTCTATGGTCAATCAGCGTCATTTCCACAGCTACCAGCCTGCTGTACCCCCTCCTGGCCCTAACCCTCATATTTCATAATCCTCACCTGGAAGAGCCAGCCCAGGACAGCCACAAGCAGTAGCTGATTCAGGTAACACATGTTTCCTCGCTGCGCCAATGCCTGTCGCCTGAGTAAACAAAGCCACGCAGTTTTTTTAAAGCATAAAAACCATCTCACACTCCTTAGTGCATCTGTCACGGGAAAACGCCTGTCAGACGGACGCCAGAGCATGTTAATCTCAACAGCAGTAAACGCAACCAGGGTCAGTGTAATCATGTATTACCAGTGACAAAATCTGTGCGTCGCGAATCGGTCGGCTCACCTGTAGATATGCAGCAACATGCCCAGCACAGTCCTGTAGCACTGCAGGAAAGGTCCACAGAAGTCCAGCATGGACAGGAACTCCACCAGCCACGGAACCGTTAGCACCAGGCGTCGGCTGCGCACAGACCTGCGCAGCACTGCGCAGACATCCAGCACTGGACACCTCTGCGAAATGTGAGACAAGGCCTTATCCTGTTTGTGCTCTACATAAAATGGCAAATGGAACAATATTGAAATACTGTTCTTTTAAATATAAAATAAAATCTATTACACATCTTTCATTTAAGTGATGGCTCTTCCAGATTGGTTACTGAAGTTTCCTTAAATAGTGATTATTTAATTTTGCAACAGTTGCATAGCTTAGTACAACCTTTTAAGAGACTTAGGGCGCGTTGTAATTTCTGTACACTTTATTATACAATTCACACATGTTAGTTTGGAAAGACCCTCAATAGGATATTAGTACAACCTGAGGTGACCGATCATGATGATAGTATAGATTTATCCACCGATCTTCCATAACCATTTATCGAGTAAACAGTGAATTAGGAGTCTGCACAGAGCACAATGGACGCCAGTCCATCACAGGCCAGACACTAACACACTATGGGCAATTTCAAGAACCGATTCACCTGGGAGGGAACTGGAATATCCAGGGGATTCTGCAACGGGACGGTGTCTGCTTTTCACTGCTTAGATTTCAGCACCACGGACCGGCAGCACTGACGTATCCCCATGAAATTGTGTGAAAGCAAAACTGGCCAGCGGGCAGACAATGGGCTCTCTGTGTTCTACTCGTCGCTCTCGCTGTGGGACACTTAATGCACTCGGGAGATACCGTGAGGAGAGAAAAAACCAGGTGGGATTATCCTACCACTGTTCTACTCTCACGGAACATAAAGTGAGTAAATCACCTCAGCCAATGAAATCTGACCGAGCAGCCGACTCTCTCCTCACTGACAATTTGCACAAACACTGATTTGCTAAACGCAGATTTTTGGACTATGCTTGAAAAGTGGAAAACACAAACGAAAACATGTTCCACACGCGCAGAACAAGTAGGGAATTTTTTAACCCCCAACCCTAAAGGTATAAGGCAACAGCTTTTTGTGTGCGTGTGTGTGTGTGTGTGTTTGTGTGTGTGCCTGTGGGTGTGTGTGTGTGTGTTTGGATTTTGAGGACATGTGCGTCAGCTGGGTAAAGACAAATTCTGACCTGGGGCTTGCCAGCCAAAAACACAAATCTCACGCCTCTGGAGAGTTATCTATTGTTTCGCCCATAACCTGACCTCTGCTCTCAAAACAGAGGGAAACGCTTCTTCTGTAATGGAAAAGAATGACAGCCTTTATTTGGATCCTGATCAGTATTCCAAATTCATACAGTCTTTAGCTCACTTTATCCACAGTACTAAGAAATCTTGGAGTCTTTTTACCCCAGTGGAAAATGTCACAATTCTGCCTACACTTCAGGGGTCCCTGTTGCCCCTGGCAACCTACCCGAAACAAAGAGGAACTCCATGGGCAGAAGATGAATTACGCTTCTGTCTTACCTGGGCACAATAAACCTACATAAACATACCAGCTGCTCCAAAGTTCACCAGAATGGGGCTCATGTCTTATCTACTTTCATTGTAGCATTTATACATGTTTACTTAAGGCATTTTCAGAAAGGTCCAAGGATTAAATAAGAATTGAATATTAAATGCTGCAAAACAAAATACACTACATTAGAAAAGGTGAACTTCAGCAATCTTTAGACTAAATGACAATATGCCATACCAAATATTAAAGCTGAAGATTTACAGTATTAGATCTTTTTTAATTTTTTTTACATTTTTTTACCCCCTTTGGTATTATCAGTGGCAACCAGACTAATAGGCGTCTGAGGTCTTAACTGGAAAATTGAGATGAATGAAAATGAAGTCAATAACATTCTGGAAAAAGTCCTTCAGAAAGAGCAAGTTATTCCATATCTGCAGCTGCACTGTCAGCAAATGTTACTCTGTCCTCTTATTCTAATATCAGCAGGTTTAAAATTTTACTGTCCACCACATCATTTCCTACCTTTCCTAATCAAGCATATTAAGATTCCTATATTGCATGAACTCTCAAGAAGAATAAAACGGTCTTGGTTTAGACAGGGACGTAAACATTGCTCTGTCTCTCTCTCTCTCTCTCCACACAGGGACGTAAACATTGCTCTGTCTCTCTCTCTCTCTCTCTCTCTCTCTCTCTCTCTC